CTACTCCCCCTCCCACCCACCCACCCTCACCTGCGGAGATGGAGTGCGGGTCCACCACCTGCCCCTCCTCATCTTGGATCAGTAGCGAGTAGGAGCCGTGCAGCACGCCCGGCCGCCCCAGCGTCAGCGTGGCCGCGTGCTTGTCGGTGTCGATGCCCTCGCCGCCTGCGGGGCGCGGGCCGGCGCGCGGCGGCGGCAGCTTAAGAGGCTGCGGGACGCTGGCAGGCAGGCCAGGAGGCATGCTGGAAGAGCGCAGGAGGCAGGCAGGAGGCAGGCAAGCAGCAAACCAGCGCGCACGCCGCGTGCGTCGCCAGGCCTGCACGGGCCTGAGAGGCGCAATGTCATCAAGGCGCGCTCCACCGCGGCTCACCGGCCTCCACGCCGATCAGGCGCACGTCGGCGTCGTCGACAAACTCGTGGAAGAGGCCCATGGCGTTGGAGCCGCCGCCCACGCAGGCCACCAGGATGTCGGGCTTGCCGCCCCACGCCTCCTGCGCCTGGCGCCGCGTCTCGCGGCCGATGCAGGCGTGGAAGTCGCGCACCTGGGGGTGTGTGGGTGTGTGGGTGGGGGGTTGTGTGTGTGTGTGTGTGTGTGTGCGTAGGGGGCAGGCGGGCGGCGGGAAGGAGGGTGCGAGGGAGGACCGCCTGCCGCCTGTGTCCTTCCGCCTGCCCCCTGCTGCCTGCTGCCTGCCCGCCTTGAACGACAGCCTCGCATCCTAAGCCCCCCCTCCCCCTCCCGATACAAAAACAAAACATGCAGCGCCGCGCCTCCGCCGCCGCCTCACCATCATGGGGAAGGGGTGCGGCCCCGCCACGCTGCCCAGGATGTAGTGCGTGCTCTCCACGTTGGTCACCCAGTCGCGGATCGCCTCGCTGGTGGCGTCCTTGAGGGTGCGGGTGCCCGAGGTGACGGGGCGCACCTCCGCACCCAGCAGGCGCATGCGGAACACGTTGAGCGCCTGCCGCTCCATGTCCTTCTCGCCCATGTACACCACGCACTCCAGGCCCGCGCGCGCGCACACCGTGGCCTGCACGCCGCCGGGAGGAAAGGAGGAGGGACGAGGGTGGAGGGGCCAGACCGGGATGGAGGGGACGGGCCGGGGTTGGAGGGGACGGCCAGGAGCAAGGGACCCGGGCACGGCGGCAGCAGGCACCGCAGCGGCGCGGCAGGCAGCCCGCAAGGCGTGCCGGCTGGCGGCGGCGCCGGCACCAGCATCCCAGCACAGCCCAGCGCAGCCAGGAAAACAGGGAGGCAGCGGGAGGGGAGCGGCGGCGCCGCCGCACCGTGGCCACGCCGTGCTGCCCCGCCCCCGTCTCCGCGATGATGCGCTTCTTGCCCATGCGCTTGCACAGCAGCGCCTGGCCCAGGGAGTTGTTGATCTTGTGGGCGCCGGTGTGGTTCAAATCCTCGCGCTTGAGATAGATCTCGGGGCGGCTGCCGTCGGGCCTGCACAGGTGAGGTGCGACAGCGCGGGCAGCGGCGGGCACGGCGGCGGCGGCCGGCGGAGTGAGCACGAGCGCGGCTGCTGCGGCTGGCATGCGGGGCACCGGGTGACCGCCGCGAGGGGTCCTCTGCCCGTTGCCGGAGGCGGCAGCAGCGGTGGCGGCTCCCGCCTGCACCCCGCCGCCTGCCGCCAGGCGCACCTGCGGTAGCGCTCAGACAGCCGCTCCGCGTGATACAGCGGCGATTCCCGGCCCACATAATGCTTCAGCAGGTGATCAAGCTCGGCCTGCGGGGAGTGGTGGAGCGGGTGTGGTGGTGGGGCATGTGCGGCTCGCTGCATGCCGGCAATGCACCCAATGCGGCTCACCTGGAAGGCGGGGTCGTTGATCGCCTCCTCGTAGGCCGCCGTCAGCTCGTCCAAAGCCAGAATCAGCGTCTCTGGCACATACCTCCCGCCAAACTGGCCATACCGGCCCGTCTTATCGGGCCGCTGAACCTTTGGCTGCGGCGGAGCGGCTGTGCAGGAGACGGGCATGGCGCGGCGCTGTGGGCGCTGTGAGCGAGGCTGCACCACTGCCCGCAGCGGGGCGCAGAGCTGTGCGGCCGCCACACACTGCTGCATGGTTGCTGGGCAGCAAAAGAGGGCGCGGAGGAGCAAAACCGGGAAGTGTTCTTGCTTGCTGGGCATGCTAGGACTCCATGCTCACCGCCGCCACTCCGCCCCGCCCGCTCGGCATTTGATTGCTGTTTACATAACTCATGGAGCGCATTATTGCTCACAGTAGGCTAGAAACACACAAGCTGCATGATAATGTAGGCGGCAGCGGCAGAGGAGGAAACCCAGGGCCGCATGGGCGAGAAAAAGTGGCGGTGGCAGGTTGGACCGACGCCAGGGTAGTGGTACAGCGGCGCAAAGCGCACTCCCTGCCAGGCCTCCCTAGGCGGTGTACACGCGGATGGGGGCGCCCCGGGAGCGGCAGATGGGGCATCGCCGCAGGCCGTGCGAGCAGCGGCTGCAGGCGCACATGTGGCCGCAGGCGGGGAAGACGGTCGCGCAGGGCCGCTCCAGGCACACCACGCACAGGGATGGCCTGGCACCGCCCTCAGCCGCCTCCGCAACATCCGCCGGCTGCGGCTCGGCCGCGCTGGCTGCCGGCGCGCCCGCCGCCCCGCCACCGCCGGCCGCTGCGGCCGCCGCCGCTCGCTCGCGCATCGCCTTCTCCACCCGCTGCCGCAGCCGGCGCTGGCGCACCCAGGTCAGCGCGTGCTGCGTGGCGGCGGCCACCAGCATGCTGGCCCCCACCGCCGTGAAGGCCGCGGCCCACTGCTGGCAGGCCAGCGAGCTGGCCTGCAGCGAGGCGATCACATCGGGCAGCGGCTGGCGGCTGAGGTAGAAAGCGCCGTCGCGAGGCGCACGCAGCACCAGCATCTTGCCGCCCTTGCGCACCGCGCCCTGCGCCGCAGGCGGAGGGGCGGGCCGGGATGCGCTCGCGGGGCAGCCGAGCCATCGGCTCATAACAGAAAATGCCAGCAGCAGCAGCAGCAGCAGCAGCACTTGGATGCGCCGCACCACCCCGCGGGGCATCGCCCACAGGGAGCGGCATGCAGGGCCTCGCCCCACCGCAGCCCGTGCCTCTCCCCACCCCGCAGCCCTCCCACCTTGAACACCGAGGGGTGCTCCACCGCGGTGGCCAGCTCCCCCACCGCCGTCAGCATGGTGCCCACAGGCAGCATGCGCTCCACCTGGCGCACGCCCACGCTGCGGCTGCCCTGCACCTCGTCCACCACACGCCCCAGGAAGCCCTGGGTCTGGTTGTCGGGGATCCTGCAGCACAGCACAGCACGGGGGCAGGGCATGGTTCCAGAAGCGGGGCTGTGGGGCTGGGGGATGTGCGGCACGAAGCTCGCGGCAGGCCTGTTCTCCGAGGTGGCGGCGGCCGGGCAGCGAGGTGGGCAGCGCAGGCCGAGGGCAGGCAGCCGCAGCCGGGGAGAGCCAGCCAGAGCGGCAGCCAGCCAGAGCCACAGCCAGAGGCAGGCCCAGCAGGCCCAACGCCCGACTCACAGCCGGTCCCCAGACATCTGCAGGTAGTCCCCATCGGCACGCCGCCCCGCTACCACGGGCACCTCCGTGCCGCTGCCGTCCACCAGCCCCCACTCCGCCTCCTTCACGCTCTCCCGCAGCAGCTGGGTGGTGCCCACCCACTCCGCGCCCGCGCGCCGCTCGCTCTTCTTCTCCTCCCGCATCTGTCGGGGGCGCGCAGGCGGGCAGGCGGGCAGGCGGCCATACTGGGAGCGCTGTGGGGTGCCCCCACTGGCGTCCCAAGGCGCAGGCGCACCCAGCCCGGCACAGCCGAGCTGCGACCACGCTGGGTGACCCATCGCAGCGGCGCCGCCCGACTGCGCCTGGCGTCCCGCCTGCAGGCGCACCTCGATGATGGCGGCGTCGGTGTCCGACATCTCGCAGCGGTACGGCTTGGGCGCCAGCACGCGCCCCGTCACCGCCACGATGACAGGCACCAGCGCAAGGAGCTGCTTCAGCTCTGCGGCATGTGGGGGGGCCGGCAGACGGGCCGCGTGGGGCTGAGCTGAGCTGGGCAAGCTTCAAGGAGGGGAGCCGGCCAACCGAGTGGGCGCAAGTAACAGCGACAGCACAGGCGCCATGAGGTGGGCACCAGTGCATGGGCCCGGCACAGGCAGTCCTGCTCGCAGCCAACCCACCAGACAGGCTTTCCACCGGGACTGCCGCCCCCAGCTGCCGCGCCTGCTTCCCCTTGGCCAGCCCCACCAGCGCCAGCAGGCCGCCCAGCGCGCATGTGGCCAGCCCGCCGTAGCCCAGCAAGGAGGTGAACAGCATGGGGCTCACAAAGTCTGCAGGCAGGCAAGGGGGGGCGTCGGTGACAGCGGGCGGCAGCGGGCAGCGGGCGGGTGGTGCCGGACTGACTGCCACGCTAGCCCCGGCCCTGCGGCAGTGCCCCCGCTGCAAACAGGCCACGGGTCATGTCCCCGCAGGGGGCCAGAAGCTGCCTGCCTGAAACCTAGGGGACTCGGGGCGATGGGGTGCGCTCAGGGCCGCGTCCAGGTCTTGGACTGCAATTGTGCACTACGCAGGGAGCCAGAAGAGCGTTGATAACTGCAATAGCTCAGCCACGCTGAGCTGGCAGTCTCGACAGAGATGGTCGGAGCGCCTCCAGCCGTTATCGGCTATGCACGTCTGATCGCTATATTGCAGCAGTCGCTGGTTCCGGTGTCCCAGCCGCCTGATCGCCGCCCATCACGCCATCTGGACCTCGTGCGTCACAGGGCGTCCCCCAGGGCCCCAGCGGGGTCGCTATGGATGGCCTGTGAGTGGCATGGTGTCGCATGCCCCGCTGCGCTAGGCTGGCGTTGGCGGCGGAGCCTGCTGCCAGCCACCGCCTGCCGCCACGTCTCCCGAGCCTGACCTTGCCCTGTAAAACTGCAACTGTATCTGCAGACCGGCGCTTTCGAAGCTGCGCCTGGAAGCCATTGATAGGCAGGGCAGTGATGTGAGGTGAGTGCAGAATTTCCGGATCGGTGCGGCAATCGGCGCTGCCGCAGCCACTCCCGCTGCAGCTGCCAGACGCTTCCAAGCACTCGATGCCTCCCTGCGCACCCGTGCAGGCAAATCGCCCACGACCATGCACACCCACCACGTGCCTCAGACCTGGCGGAGCTGCAGCAGCTTCAGAAGAAGTCGGGGCGGGAGCGGGATGAGGCGCAGGAGGGGCGAACGGCGCAGTCGCTGTCGGAGACGCTGCGGTCGGGGGCGCGGCGGGTGAGCACAGGGCCCTCCTGCTCCCTGCAGGGATGGGCATAGGAGGAGGAGGAGGTTCTGGCAGCCAGCATCGTCAGCAGGGCAGGACCATGCTGCTTCATTAGAGGAGGAAGGGCTGGCTGGGGCCAGCACGGTCGACCGGGCTGGTGCTGCCTCCCTGCTTGCGGCGGGTGCCGCCAGGCCCTCAGCTGCTGCTCCGCTCCGCCGTCCCGGGCGTGCAGGCAGGCCCTCGCGTGATCCGGGGCGAGCCTCACGAGGGCTACACGCCCATCAGCCCTCGTGTCAGCGTGACAAACACGCAGGGCAGCGGCTTCGTCAAGGTAGTGCAGCTGTGTGCCTTCGTCACCGGCCCGCAGAGGGGGGGTGGCGCGCAAAGCCATGGCGGCAGGGTGGAGGCCAGGGTCGTGGCGTGGCGTGATGCACATCGTCGTGCTTGCCGCCCGCTGCAGGCCATGTCTGATGCGGGGCTGAAGCCGACCATAGTGTATCACAACCTGTCCCCCGCGGAGCTCTACGAGAAGGTGGGCTGGGCGGGCACTCTGGGCGCGGGTGCCAGCTGGGGAGCCCAGGTGCGAGGCACGCGGCGCCGGCCAACCCTGTACCCTGCCCTGTGTGTGCCGCAGGCGCTGCAGTACGAGCCCAGCAGCCACATCGTGACGGGCGGCGCGCTGGCGACGATCTCTGGAGCCAAGACGGGGCGCAGGTGCGCCCGCCGCTGATCCATGTCTCGTCGTTCCTGGCTCGCAACAGCTGCTGCTGATTCGGTTGGCCCCTCGTCTGCCCGCCTGTCCGACTGCAGCCCGCGCGACAAGCGCATTGTTCGGGAGCCAGACAGCGAGGCGGATGTGTGGTGGGGGGAGGGCAGCCCCAACTATGAGATGGATGAGCGGTGAGTGCAGGTTTGGGTGGGCATCGGCAGGAGGCTGGGCCAGCAACAGCTCCCATGGCGCCAGTGTGTAGCAACGCGTGTTTGTGGTCACGGTGGGCTGATGGTTCCACCGCTGGCGGGCCCTGCCACACACACGTACGATCTCAATGCTGCCTCTGCAGCACCTTTTTGTTGAACCGCGAGCGAGCCGTGGACTACCTGAACCAAGCAGACCGCCTGTACGGTGCGCCCCCCCAGGGATCACGCCATGCAAAAGCTTGCTGACGTTGTGGCCACTGCTGCGGACTCTCCCAGCTCCCTCGCTCCCTACGCCCCCACCCCCGCCCCCGCCCTGTTCTTCCTCCGCAGTGTGCGATGGGTATGCGTGCTGGGACCCCGCAGTGCGGTACCGCATCCGCGTCGTCTGCGGCCGCCCCTTCCACGCCCTGTTTGCCCACAACCTGCTGATACGGTGCGGCGGCGGCGGGCGTGGTGCAGCCGCGCTGCGTGCCTGCCCCGCCCTGCGCCTCGTGTCGTGTGTTTCCCGTCACGAGCTGGCTGGCCTCCTGCCCTGGTGCCTTGCCACCTCTGCACCGCCACACGCGCACCATGCCCACTCCTGCTCCCACCACCACCACCGCCACCACCACCACCACCACCACCAACAACAACAACAACAACAACATCACCGCTACCACTGCCGCCACCCATGTACCGCAGGCCCAGCGAGGAGGAGCTGGCCGACCACTTTGGTCGCCCCGACTTCACCATCTTCAACGCCGGCGTCTTCCCCGCCAACCGCCACACCTCCTACATGACCTCCTCCACCTCAGTGGACATCTCCTTTGCGCACCGGGAGATGGTGGGTGGCGAGCCGGCAGGGGGTGCCTCTGAGGGCGGGCTGGCCTGGATGACATGCCTGCCTGCCTGCCTGACTGACTGCCTGCCCGACTGCCTGACTGCCTGCCTGACTGCACAACTCCACAACTGCTTGCGTGAGGGGCAGCGGCCCTGCACCTGCCGACCGCCTGCCGTGCACCGCCGGGCTGGCTCTGCCTGGCCCTGCTCACCCGCAGGTCATCCTGGGCACGCAGAGCTGCGGGGAGATGAAGCAGGGTGTGTTCACACTCATGAACTACTGGCTGCCCAAGCGGGGCATACTGCCGCTCAACTCAGGTGGGCGGGCAGGCAGGCAGGCAGATAGCAGCAGCAGCAGCAGCAGGAGCGGTAGTGCGGCAGCGGCGGCACCCCCTCTCACCTGTCGGCGGCTGGCTGGCGCTGGTGGGCCCGAGCCCGACTGGTGCGCTGCCTTAGCTCTGCTGCTGCTGCGCTGCTGCAGGGTGCAATGTGGGCCAGCAGGGTGATGTGGCGCTGTACTTTGGGCTGTCTGGTGGGTGGCCAGCGCCGCAACCACAGCGCGCCGTGCGCCGCTGTCCTGCACCGCAGGCCTGGCGCACGCGCCGTGCCCTGAACCCGCGGCATTTGCTGCGCTGCGCTGCCACCCTGTCTCTTCCCTGACCCAGGCACCGGCAAGACGACGTTCAGCACCGATTCTGAAAGGCGGCTGGTGGGTGACGACACGCTGGGCTGGGGCGAGACTGGGGTGTTCAACATAGAGGGCGGCTGCTACGCCAAGTGCATCGGGCTGAGCAAGGTGGGCGCCGCGGAGGGCTGGCTGGCTGGCCGGGGAGGGATGCGGTGGTGTGCCTGGGCAGCGGGCTTCGGCCCACAGCACCCACACAAGCGGCGTGCAGCCCAGCCCTTCCCGGCTGTGCCGCCGCTCCCCGCAGGAGCGGGAGCCTGGCATCCACGCCGCGCTGCGCTTTGGCGCGGTGCTGGAGAATGTGTGCTTCGACGAGGAGAGCAGGGAGGTGGATTTTGATGCCAGCAGCATCACGGAGAACACGCGGGCAGCGTACCCCATCGAGCACATGGGTGGGTGCGGGTGTGGCGCCGCGGGCGCGCAGCAGCGGCCACAGCAGCTGCCGCGGCGCCTCACCGTGTCCGTTGCCGCACGCCAGGCTGGGGTGGTGCCCTTTCGCCCGCCTGGCCGCCTGGCGAGCTGGCTGCCGTCCCGCCGCCCGTCCCCGTGCCTGCAGGCAACGCGCTGGTGCCCTGCCTGGCGGGCCACCCGCGCAACGCCGTCTTCCTGTGCTGCGACCTGTTTGGGGTGCTGCCGCCGGTCAGCCGGCTGAGCGCGGCGCAGGCGCTCTATTACTTCATGAGCGGCTACACCGCCAAGGTGGCGGGCACGGAGCAGGGCATCACCGAACCGCAGGCCACCTTCTCCGCCTGCTACACCTCCACCTCCCTGGTGTGGCACCCGGTGAGCAGCTGCACACCAGCGGGGCGGGGGCCCAGCACTGCATGGTTGCTCGGTCAGGGTGAGGCCAGCTGTCTGTCCCGCGCTGCGACCGCAGCATGCTCAGCATGCTCAGCATGGCCTGGGCTGCTTTGCCTGTGCCTTTGAAGACCAAGTATGCAGCCATGCTGGCGGCCAAGCTGGAGCAGCATGGCACACACGTCTGGCTGGTCAACACAGGCTGGTCCGCCGGCGGGTGCGGTGGCCGCGCATTGGGGCAGGCTGCTTACTTGCCAGGAGGAGCGTGGTGCTCTTGCGTGCTGGGCAGCCCGCGCCAACCGCAACCTCGCTCCTGGAGCCCCGCGTCGTGCAGGTATGGCGTGGGGCGGCGCATCTCCCTTGAGCACACCCGCGCCATAGTTGCGGCAATCCATTCGGGTGAGGAGGGGTGCCGGCCGCCCCCCTACATACATACAGCTGCGTGATGCTTTTGCAGAGTGGCTTGGCAGGGCGGAAGGCTTGGGGTTTCCTAGCCTCCAGCGGGATTGCATGTGTGCAGGCGAGCTGGCGGCGGCCGAGCGCCAGACGCTCCCGCTCTTCAACCTCCAGGCGCCCACCAGCTGCCCTGGGGTGCCCCCAGAGCTGCTGCTGCCCAGCACCACGTGGGTGGACAAGGAGGCCTACAGCCAGCAGCTGGTGCAGCTGGCCGCCCTGTTTGTGGCAAACTTCAAGAAGTTCGAGGTGGGGCCTGCCTTTGGGGCGGTGCGCCAGCTGGGGCTTGCCGGGCGTGCCACCGCTGCTGCTGGCCTTATACTTGCCCGTGCATTCAGGGGGGCTCCCGCTTCATTTGGCTGCTGCAGGGCGGCAGCCGCCACATGTCGGAAGAGGAGGTGCGGCGCATTGTGGAGGCGGGGCCCAGCCTGTGACCCGCATCAGAATCGGCCCTGCTCCCCTCTTCGTTGGTAGCAGCCTCAGTTGCTTGACACATACACGCATTCTCGGCACTGTTTCCCATTTCCTTGGTATGGCCGCTTTCCCGGCATGCCTGCTTGTTGCGCTGTCCCCGCCGGTCTGCCCTCAATTCGCAACCTGCCTACCTGTTCCTTTCCTTATGTCATGTTGGATGGCAGCACATTTACACCTGCTACCTGCTGCAGTCAGTGGTCAAGCCATCAGTCATGATGTGCAGAGAATGGCGTCAGTTTGTTGCGTGTCAGCTGGCAGGAGCGAAAGCAAACTAGTTTGAGCTGAAGGGTTAAAAGCGGGGTGATGGTGGTAATGGAATGGTGGTAATCAGGCCGGGGGCAATGGCCCTGTTGTTTGTGCAGGGTGGGCGCCTAACGTCTGCCTCACTGCGCCTAACGTCTGCCTCTCACTGCTCCTCCATCTCCTCATCCTCGATCTGCGCAGCAGACACACCAGCACGCCGCATCAGCAGCCACGCACGCATGCACACAGCTCTCAGAGGGGCCACCACCAGGCACTCCCGCCACCAGGCACACCCACCTTGGGCGCCAGGTAGTACCTCACATACCCAAAGTCGGCCACCTTGTACTCCACCACCACGGGCAGCTCCTTGCTCAGCTTGATGACCTGGCGGGGCGGGCACGGGACGCAGGGAAAGACAGGGTGGTGGTGTCTAGCGTATTGACAAGAGACACGGGGCAAGAGACACACATGAGCGGGCCGGCTGCCTTGCACGGCCGCAGGATGCAGGCGCTCCGCTGTCGGCGCGTTGCTGGCGTCCACGCCCCAGGCAGGGCAGGCACATGCACGGCGGCGGACGGCAGCAGGCGCGGCTCATCTCACCACCGAGGGGGACAGGGCTGTGGCCTTGGTGAAGGACGTGAGGTAGCGCAGCGCAAAGGTGAGGCTCACCGGCTCGTGCATGTCGATCACCGTCTGCTCCTCCTGCGCAGCCCACGGCGTGGCGGGCAGCGCCAGGAATCACACAAGAGGAGCGCAGCACACACAAGAGGAGTGCAGCACCCCACACCATCAGGTGCAAGACCGACAACAGCTGGATCCGTGCGGGCGGCGCGATGCAGCAGGGGGGCAGCTACGAGGAGCAGGCGGCGGTGCACGGCTGGACAGGTGGCGGCGGGGCCCAGCGCCGCACCTGCTTCTCCACGTTCAGGTTCTGTCGGCAGATGACGTTGGCGGAGCCGATGTCGCCGTTGGTGGAAAACTTGACGCCGTCCTTGGTCACGCTGATCTCCACTGCAGGCGTGAGGGTGGAGGTGCTGCCATTGGCGCCGTGTGGTAGGCTGTGCGGGCGTGGCGGGCGACACAGCTGCACCCCATGCCACCCCCACCGCACCCACCCGTGTCCCCGATGCTGCCCAGGTCCTTGGTTATCCGCTGGAACTCGGTGCTGGGCATGGACACCTGCAGCAGCATGGGCCCAGGGGCGCAGCGGGGCACAGGGGTGGCGGGCGGGGACGCCTGCTGCGCCTTCGTGCCGCTCGCCACCCGAGGCGCTCGAAACCCGACACTTACACACACAAGCACGCACCCCCGACGCCGCCGGCCCGCCCCACCCACACACGCACACACGTGGTGCGTGCCGCCCCTGCGCAGCAGCCCGCCCAGCTGCCCACCACCACCACCACACCCCCACCACCCACCCACCCACCCACCGTGGCCGAGTACTCTGTGTCTGGTATGCCCAGGTTCTCGCTGGTGATGTCCATCAGCTTCAGCTCAAACTCGCTCACGCGCCCCTGGCCTGCTGGGAGGGCAGGTTGGCAGGCGGGCAAGCACAGGAGACGAGGCGTCGAGTGGGTGGCCGACGATGACGGCTGGAGGGAGGGTGGATGGGCAGGCCGCGCGCCCGCTGCCCTGCCCCTGGCTGCCCCAAAGCAGGGAGGCAAGAGACCGCCCCAATGCCGCGCTCTGCCCGCCGGCACGTGCCCAACAACCCAGCCGGCCAGCTCAGGCTGCTCTTGCCCCAAACAAGCCCCACCTGCGCTCTCAAACAGGAAGGTCACCACATCGCTGTTCTCCTCTGCCTTCATGGTGATCACATCGTCGTTTGCGGCGCACTTGAGCATCTTGGCCTGCGCCAGGAGCGGAACAACCCGGTCAGAGCACCCAGCCGAGGCGGGATTGACGCCGCGGCAGCCCAGATAGCCTCGACGGCAGCGCCGCGCCAGGCGCACGCAACAGACCCCGTGCGCCGCCCGCGCCAGGCGGCGGCGCGCACCATGTTGTTCAGGTTCATGCCCATGCTGAACGAGCGGTCGGCGCGGAAGTGCTCAAAGCCGTCGGAGCGCAGGGAGAGGGCGACCAGCGAGACGTGGGAGGAATCCATGGCTTGCAGCGTGATGCCGCCGCCGCTGACCTCGAAGTTGGCCTCCGTGATCAGCTCCTTGACCGCCTCCAGCACCTGCAGGTGGGGTGTGGAGCCGCGCCAGGCCGGCGACCGCAAGGCAACGTCGGTGCGGGGTAGCGTTGGGGCGGGGGGGGTGGCGCCGTGGCTGGCCGCCAGGGACTTGCCTTCTTCAGCAGGGCTCCCTGCACCAGCCGTGCCTCAAACATGCTGGCGGTCTGCTGGCAGTGGGTTCCAGGACCTGCAGCAGGAGCCAGGCAAATGGCGGGTTGCACGGTGCTGCGACGGTGAGCAGGCGGTGCCGGCAGTTGCCGCCAATGGCCGACAGCAGCAGGCTGCGGCTGCCCTGCGGCTGTGATCGCGCAGCGTTATGCGCCCCCTGGCGCGCTGGTTCCCAGCCTTGCTGCACACAAGCGGGCCCGCCGATCACTGAGGGAGGGAGAACAGGGCTAGAATCGGAGGGTGGCGCTTGCCTTGCCTCTGCGGAACGATCCCTGCACTGGGCTCGCCTCAATGCCTGACAAGCGCCTGGCACAGCGACGTGCTGGTCTGAAACAGCGACAGCAGCGGTATATATACTGCGAGGGGGAGCTGTAAGTAGCGAAGCCAAACTAGGCAGGCGACAGGACCTGCCAGAGCAGCAAATGGCGAAATGCCACTCTCTCCTGCCGTGCGTGCTGCGGCTTTTGCTGCCGCCACAGCCGCCAAAAGCTATGCATGCGCCTCCCCAGCACCTAATTTGCGCTGCAGGTGTTACCTGATAGCTGCTCGGACTGGCGCCAAAGGTCTTTCAAGCATGATGCGCCTCGCTGCACAAAAGCTGCAGCTGGTAGCCAGCCGGCTGGCGGGCTGCCGCACCAGTAGGGCAGGAGCTGCCAGTTTCAATGCCGTGCAGCGTGCTGCTCACAGGGTGGCTGGCCGGGCGCCGCGGGAAGCGGCGGCGCGGTGGCCCGCCCGCCGGCCCGTGGCGAGGGCCAGCGCGGCACACGAGGCGGGCCCAGACGGCAGCACCAGCCGGCCGGGCTACGAGGCAGACCTGCAGCTGCCCACCCACTGCTCCGGCTGCGGCGTGGAGCTGCAGCAGGAGGAGCCGGAGGCCCCCGGGTGAGCTCCCGCCGCCGCGCCCGCCGCACCTCCCCTTCCGCACCTCCCCGCCCGCACCGCCCCTCGCAGACGCTTTGCCGCTGAGAGCCCGTCCGCCAGCCACGAGGTGCTGTTCCGACATGTCTGATCGCCGCAGCGGCTGCTGCCCTGCTCCTTTCCTCCCTGCAGCTTCTTCCAGGTGCCCAAGCGCCTGCTGGAGCAGCTGGCAGCGGAGGGCGACCTGGATGGCGCTGGGCTTGAGGAGGACGACAGCGAGCTTGTGTTTGACGACGTGGGGCTCGAGGTGCGTGGCTGGGTGGCTGCACTGCATGGCAGGGCCCCGGGCGCGCTGTGTGCGCTGGCGGGAGCAAGCAATCTCCAGGCGGGCGGGCGGCATGCCGCGGTCGGGACCGGCGCTGAGTGGAGGTGGCGGCTTGTGCCTGGTGCAGGCTGATGAGGCCGGCGCCGAGGCGGCGGCCGGCCAGGAGCAGGCGGGCGTGGCGGGCGAGGCGGCGGCTGGGCCGGGGGAGGTGCAGGAGGCGGCGAGCACGTCTGGGCGGGACCCAGAGGAGGAGGCCAAGTGGGCTGCCTTTGATGAGATGGTGGAGAGCTGGCTGGGCGGCTCCAAGCCAGCGCGCGTGGAGGTGGCCAGCTATGCGGAGCAGGAGGAGGGCCAGGGCACGGGCGGGTCCAGCGTGCTGTGCGCGCGCTGCTTCTCGCTGCGGCACTACGGGTGAGGCCGGCGCGCGGGCCTTGGGGCCCCAAGGCGGGGAGGCAGGGCAAGGGGCGGGTGGCGCTGAGGGGCCAGCGGGGGCTCCCAGGGCGGCTACTGCTCTCCGAATGCGGCCCACTAACACAGCCAGGCTCCTCCCTCCCCTCTCCCTGCCCCTACTCATCATCCACATCACCCACCCGCCTCCCTCCTGGCCTGCCCCGCTCAGGTCTGTGAAGAGCGAGGCCGCGGAGGCGGAGCTGCCGGCCTTTGACTTTGAGCGCAGGGTGGGCCTCAAGATCCAGCTCCAGAAGTTCAGGCGCTCGGTGGTGCTCTGCGTGGTGGATGTGGCAGGTGCGCGGGCGGCGGGGCGGCGGCGGCGGGCTGTTGGGGCGGGGCGGTGGGGCCAGGCTGGCGGACCAGGGGTGCTGGTCCGCCATCGGGGAGGCAGGCATGCGATTTGGTATGCGCTATGCGTGGTGTGCGGCGGTGGGCGGGTGGGTAGCATGTAGGGAGGGAGGCCCTCTGTGCTGCGGCAATGACGCACATGCGCCCCGCCCTCTCCCGCAGACTTCGACGGCTCGCTGCCGCGCCAGGCGCTGCGCAGCATCCTGCCGCCGGACCTGCAGCAGGGGCCGCTGGATGTGGGGCGACCGCTGCCGCTGGGCTTCCGCCTGCTGGTGGCCGTCAACAAGGCAGACCTGCTGCCCAAGCAGGTCACGCCCGCACGCCTGGAGGTGCGGAGTGCGCTGGCCATGCTGTGCATGCTGTGCATGCTGGTTGCGCTGTGCACGCTGGGCCGCCGGCCAGCTGTGCTGTCATCGCCCGCGCGGCAGGCATGGCGGCAGCGGGGGCCCTGCCTGCCGGCGCTGCACCAGTGCGGTGCGCGTCACCCCTGGCCGTGTTTGTTGTGCCTGGCTCCCCGCCGCAGAAGTGGGTGCGCAGGCGCATGGCGCAGGCAGGCCTGCCCAGGCCTAGCGCCGTGCATGTCGTGAGCAGCACCAAGCAGCGCGGCGTGCGGGAGCTGCTGTCAGACCTGCAGGCGGCGGTGGGCGTGCGCGGCGACGTGTGGGTGGTGGGCGCGCAGGTGCGGCGGCGGCGCGGCGCAGCATGCAGGGCCTGGGGATGCGGGGCCGCCTGCCGCTTGCTGCCAATCACATCGGCTTGTGGTGGAGGCTGCCATATCAGAGTGCCGCCTGCCAAGCCAAGCCTCCCCCTCTCCATCTGCCCCGTCCCACCCCCTGCCCCCCTGCCCCTGCCCCCCGACCTGCTCTGCCACCTCTGCAGAACGCGGGCAAGAGCTCCCTGATCAACGCCATGCGCCAGGTGGCGCGCCTGCCCAGGGACAAAGACGTCACCACGGCGCCGCTGCCGGGCACCACGCTGGGTGAGCGGCGTCCCCGGCGTCGCGGGGTCGGGGTGGCGCCGCGTCCGGCGCTGCTGTGCAGGACAATGCTGTCCAGGAGCCGTGCTTGCCTGGCCTGCGTGCGCCGGTCTCGCCAGCCGAGCCGACCAGGGTGTCTGCCTGCTGGCCTGCAGGCATGCTGCGAGTGACGGGCCTGCTGCCCACCGGCTGCAAAATGCTCGACACGCCCGGCGTGCCGCACGCGCACCAGGTGCGCCTGCCTTGCACGCTCGTGCACGCTGAAGGGATCGGCATGCCGCTGCGCGCGGTGTGGTTGGCATTCGCGTTCTCGAGCCCCTCCCCGCCTCCCCTCGCCCCCGCCGCTGCCGCCTGCAGCTGTCCGGCCACCTGACCGCCGACGAGATGCGCATGGTGCTGCCCCGCCGCCAGCTCAAGCCCCGCACTTTCCGCATCGGGGCCGGCCAGGTGGGGGGCGTGCCGTGCAGCGAGGGCAGGCAGGCTGCCGTGCCCTCCCCTCGTTTGCCCTAACCCCATTGCCCCGTACGCTCTCCAGCAACGTCCTCCTCCAGCCGCTGTTTCCCTCCCCCGCTGTGTCCGCTGGCGCCCATATCCACCACCACCATGCACACATGCACGGTTGCTTCTGCCCACCCATGCCCTCCCCATCCCTCGCTGCGCAGACGGTCATGATTGGCGGGCTGGCTCGCGTGGATGTTGTGGACAGCCCCGGCGCCACCCTCTACCTCTCCGTCTTTGCCAGCGACGAGATTGTGTGCCACCTGGGCAAGACTGAGACCGCGGAGGAGCGGTGCGCCGGCGCCTGCTGCTGCTGCTGCGCTGTCGCCACAGCCGGCCTGGAGGTGCTGCTGGCGGCCGCTTGCTGGGCACACACACACGCCTGTGGGCCCAGGGGCGTCCTGGCCCCTGCCTTCCTGCTGACCCTGTGCCGCCGCCGGGCCCGCCGCCGCAGGTACGCCATGCACGCCGGCGGCAAGCTGTGCCCCCCACTGGGCGGCGAGCAGCGCATGGCGGCCTTCCCACCGCTGCGGCCCACCGAGGTGACGGCGGAGGGCGACTCGTGGAAGGCCAGTAGCAAGGATGTGGCCATAGCAGGTGTGTGTGCCAGCGGGGGCAGCCCGGGCCTGGGGTGCACCGGGGCAGACTGCAGCGGCGGCCACTGCATGCCGTAGCCAATGCACGCCAGCCGCCTGTCTGCCCTGCCGCCACATCTTGCCCGCCGCATCTGGCCCGCCTGCTGCCCCCCCACCCCACGTGCAGGCCTGGGCTGGGTGGGGGTGGGCGTGTCTGGCACCGCGGCGCTGCGCGTGTGGGCGCCGCCGGGTGTGGCGGTCACCACCCACGACGCGCTGGTCCCCGACTATGCTCGGGATCTGGAGCGCCCAGGCTTTGGTGTGGCGCTGACGGAGGTGGGGAAGAACCGGCGGGAGGAGGAGGCGCGGCAGTTCAAGGCCGCCAAGCAGCAGCAGCGCAAGGGGCGGCAGGGGGCCAAGAGGGCGGCGGCGGCCGGCAGCTAGGCTGGCTGGCTCAGGCAGTGCGCTACTCGCTGCTTCTCTGTTGCCCTGTGTCATGCTGTGACGATCAGCAGCCTGTCTGTCTGTCTGTCTGTCTGTCATACTCATAAGGAGCAAGTGAATGCAACTTGTGAAGGCACCATACACAAACGAGGGGAGAGAGGGGAGGGGTCGGGTACACATAGAGCAAGGGGAGAGAAGTCTGGTTAGGATGGCGCTCCCTGGGGACAGTGCGGACAGGGCTACGAGACCCTATGCCGTTACAGGCAAAGTGCAACTTCAACAGGTGCGTGTTGTGTGTGGGGGGGGGAGGTTTGCGGTATAAGTCAAAAGTTGAGGGTGAGTACACGAGAGGGGCAAACTGTAGTGTGCGCTCAGACAATGCTCAGCTGACGGCCTTGTCATCACGCAGCGGCTTGAGCGGCAGTGACGATGCCAGGCTGGCCAGCGCCTCTTCCATCTCCTGGGGCCCGTCCACCTTGGCCAGCCGGATCTGCAAGCAGGCGAGGGGGCACTAGGGGTAGCGGCGAGGGATGATCAGGAAGCTGGCCAGCTGCGGAACTAAGTGTGGTAGCGGCAGCGAGTGCTGTTGTGTATGCTCCGCCCCTTCCTGCACAGCGCCCCCAGCAGCAGGTGCGGTGCCGCCCCCTCACCTGCACAATCGACTGGTCATCCAGTGTGCGCTTGCCCTCTGTGTCCCAGACCTCAATGCCCTCTGCAAGCCAGCCAACATGGCAGCGCACCACCGAGCCATCAGGCAGCAGGGCGCATGCGCGACTGCCATGCAGCGCACCCCGCCAGCCGGCCTGTGAAGCTGTGTAGGGGCGGCCCCACCCTGAACGCAATCCTCTCACCGATGCGCAGCAATTCCATGATCTCGCCGCCCTCCGCCTCCGGCACCAGGCCGTAGTAGGTGGCTGTATCCACATTCTCTGCGCCCTGCAGCACCCGAGCAGGCAGGGCAGGCGGTGGCGCGGGCTGCCGGGCAGCTGGCTGGGCGCTAGCGCTGGCGGGCGCTGATGCCCCTCTGCCCATCTGCCAACCGCCCCCGTCCAACTCGGCTCCCCTCGTCCACCCACACCCACTGGGCTGGCAGCCCACCTGGAAGGCGATAGAGCCGCAAGGCAGCCCACGGGCATAGCCAATGATGCGCTTCACGTCGGGAAACTTCTGCCCTGGCTGGGGAGCGCCGGCTGCGCTGGACGTGACGTTCATCAGCACGCGGTATGCGATGAAGAGGCCTGGATGGCGAGAGCGAGGGGGCAGGCTGTGCGCAAAAGGAGGCAGTGTGCCCCTGCGTGCATGCCCCAGCCCTGCTCCAGCCTACTCCCCTGCATGCACGTGGCTATTTCACACTGCCGTCCCACTCACCAGATTGTGCATCCACGCTGGGGATGATCAACTTGAAGTTGGAGAGGGAAGAGGACTGCGCGAGGGCGTCAGCCATCACCTCTTGCAGGTCCAGGGAGCCACCGGCCTCCAGGGCTTCCTTCAAGGCAATCTCGTACAGGCTGCCATCCAGGCGGCGCTGATCCTCCTCAGAGTCCAGCTTCCACACGCCCGCCAGCTCCGATGCCTGCACACTTGCACCAGCGGTGGCGCCGGCGGCGCGGGGGTGGTGGTGACGGCAGGGCTTCCCACGGGGTGCCACGTGAAAGCGACATGGGGGAAGCCCTTGTTGACGACGACCTCATCCATCGGGGAAAGCAGCGGCCAAGTGCAGCCTAGCCTGGTTGCGGGGGGCACATGCCGGACACCGATACCCCAGCCAACCCTCACCTGCTCCCCAGTGAGCTTGGCCGGACCTCCAAACAACGGGAACGTGCCAGAAAGCTCTGAACTGGAGCTTTCGTCGGCAAGAAGGCTCCTGCGCCTGCACAAGGCAAGCGCAGGCGAAGCGCAGGCCAAGAGCACGACCAGGTGCACGAGCGAGAAGGCCATTGTGGCTGCAAATTACTTAAGGCACAGCGCAGGAGATGGACTGGGGGATTGGCCCCGGTGCATGGGGCCAAGCTGGCATTCTACAAATCCGGACTGAGAACAATGAGAGATTTCCAAGAGGAAGGCTTTTATCTGATGTAGGAAGGGATAAGAGGAAGGGCGGAGGCCTGGGGGGCCCGCATCCGAACTCTCGTTTCCTTCCTGTCGTTCCAAAGCCCCCCAGGAAATGCATACCAGCTAAATCCAAGCATCATCAACTACGAAGACAGCTCAAAGACTGCAGGAGCACACTAAACACCGGCTGCCCCGTCAGACGGCGCCGTCGCCGTGTGTCGCCTGCAGCTGCCTGCGCGTGCGGCCCAGACTGCCTAAACTCCCAAACCCCTGCACCCAGTCTCAATCAAACTAAAGCTAAGATAATAAACAGCAGATGCCCCTTCATCACGTGTGCCCCTTGCCCAAGGTCTGCTCACGCGGCCTATCATAGCGGGGTGACTGTAACCCAGTAGCAGGGAGACCTTATGCCGTCACAGACAAAGTGCAACTTCAACAGGTGCGTGTTGTGTGTGTGTGTGCGAGGTTTCCGGTATAAGTCAAAGTTTAGGGTGGGGACACGAGAGGTCACGGTCTGCCAGGGGCAAACTGCGGTAGGGTGCGCTCAGACAATGCTCAGCTGACGGCCTTGTCATCACGCAGCGGCTTGAGCGGCAGTGACGATGCCAGGCTGGCCAGCGCCTCTTCCATCTCCTGGGGCCCGTCCACCTTGGCCAGCCGGATCTGCAAGCAGGCGAGGGGGCACCAGGGGTAGCGGCGAGGGATGATCAGGAAGCTGGCCAGCTGCGGAACTAAGTGTGGTAGCGGCAGCGAGTGCTGTTGTGTATGCTCCGCCCCTTCCTGCACAGCGCCCCCAGCAGCAGGTGCGGTGCCGCCCCCTCACCTGCACAATCGACTGGTCATCCAGTGTGCGCTTGCCCTCTGTGTCCCAGACCTCAATGCCCTCTGCAAGCCAGCCAACATGGCAGCGCACCACCGAGCCATCAGGCAGCAGGGCGCATGCGCGACTGCCATGCAGCGCACCCCGCCAGCCGGCCTGTGAAGCTGTGTAGGGGCGGCCCCACCCTGAACGCAATCCTCTCACCGATGCGCAGCAATTCCATGATCTCGCCGCCCTCCGCCTCCGGCACCAGGCCGTAGTAGGTGGCTGTATCCACATTCTCTGCGCCCTGCAGCACCCGAGCAGGCGGGGCAGGCGGTGGCGCGGGCTGCCGGGCAGCTGGCTGGGTGCCAGCGCTGGCGAGCGCTGATGCCCCTCTGCCCTTCTGCCAACCGCCCCCTCCCGCCTCGGCTCGCTCCCCTCGTCCACCCGCACCCACTGGGCTGGCAGCCCACCTGGAAGGCGATAGAGCCGCAAGGCAGGCCACGGGCATAGCCAATGATGCGCTTCACGTCGGGAAACTTCTGCCCTGGCTGGGGAGCGCCGGCTGCGCTGGACGTGACGTTCATCAGCACGCGGTATGCGATGAAGAGGCCTGGATGGCGAGAGCGAGGGGGCAGGCTGTGCGCAACAAGAGGCAGTGTGCACCGGCGTGCATGCTCCAGCCCTGCCTATTATCCTGCATGCACGTGGCTGTTCTACACTACAGTCTCACTCACCAGATTGTGCATCCACGCTGGGGATGATCAACTTGTAGTTGGAGAGGGAAGAGGACTGCGCGAGGGCGTCAGCCATCACCTCTTGCAGGTCCAGGGAGCCACCGGCCTCCAGGGCTTCCTTCAAGGCAATCTCGTACAGGCTGCCATCCAGGCGGCGCTGATCCTCCTCAGAGTCCAGCTTCCACACGCCCGCCAGCTCCGATGCCTGCACACTTGCACCAGCGGTGGCGCCGGCGGCGCGGGGGCGGTGGTGACGGCAGGGCTTCCCACGGGGTGCCACGTGAAAGCGACATGGGGGAAGCCCTTGTTGACGACGACCTCATCCATCGGGGAAAGCAGCGGCCAAGTGCAGCCTAGCCTGGTAGGGGGCATGTGCCGGACACCGATACCCCAGCCAACCCTCACCTGCTCCCCAGTGAGCTTGGCCGGACCTCCAAACAACGGGAACGTGCCAGAAAGCTCCAGTTCAGAGCTTTCTGAGAAAGCTCTGAACTGGAGCTTTCGTCGGCAAGAAGGCTCCTGCGCCTGCACAAGGCAAGCGCAGGCGAAGCGCAGGCCAAGAGCACGACCAGGTGCACGAGCGAGAAGGCCATGGTGGCGGCAAACGAGTTAAGGCACAAGAAGAAGAAGACTAAGGTGGTGGAGGAGGGAGGGAAGAAGGAGGGAGATGGCAGCTGCCGCCCTGAGACTCCGCACAGGGCGTATCAGTGACCAGCCCTGAGTGCAGCACCCCTACAGGGTATAAATGCACCAACCAGTCATGATACACCAGATGGGAGAGCCAGGCGGCCGTGCTGCAACAGTTTGGCCCTCATCTCGTCGGGAAGGCCGGCCGGCGGTGTCGCTCGGGTGACCCACCACAATGCACACAAATTATTGCTCCTGTGGTGTCAGCTGACTGAGGTGTTGGGTGTGGAGCCTGTGAGGCGCCATATGAGGCTCCAGATGAGGCAGGAAAATAACAACGCTGGAGATGGACTCGACGCCGCTGCGGAATTTGCCCACTGCCGGCGGCTCTTGAGGCACAAGCTGGTGAAAACAAATTCTGGACTAATTTTTTAATACTGACAACCCACACAATCAATCGATCCCTGAATTCCCTGCCCAGAGGAGGTTCAATACCCCCACTTGGGTTGGGGCAGTGGTGAATGTTCACCACTTCTGTTTCTAGGTGGCGGCACAGGTTGCCCGTTTGCGACACTTGGGCAGATGTGTGATCACAGATGGCGAGTGGATTACATCATCACCAATGCAACATGCACATCAGGCCCCCTGCACCTTGGTGCATTCCAGGTCGAAATCATCGGGAGCAGCCGCTGCCACCCATTTCGCCATCTGCCGTACGCTGCCAGTCGACGCCGACAGCTCGAGCAGGCTGGCCAGGTTCATCACCACCGCCTCCTGCAGCAGCGGCAGGATTCATTGAATGCCAGGTGCCACGAGACAGAGCCCCTCCAGCAACAGCCCGATACGCCTCATGCCCTTCCCCTCAGTGCCAGCAACCTCACCTCACCACGACACACACACACACACCTGCATCATGGCGGCGGGACACCGCCCAAATGCGCCCTCCAGCTGCCGCACCGCCTCTTTTAGCTGGCAGCTGTACATGACGCAGCATGGTTGCTGGTGGCGGCGGCATCTGCCGGATCCACTGCCAAAGCTGCGGCAAACTCGTTGGCGGCCCCTGCGGGCGACAGGCGGGGGCACACAAGTGGCGGCGAGACCAATAGGGCAGTCAGTCCGTGGCAGTGTCAGCCCGGCAGCAGGAGCAGGCACCAGCAGGCTGGTGACGGGCAAGTGCCAGCTCCAAGGTGCGCCTGCCTGCTCCCCCAACACAGCCCTCACCTCGGTAGTCGCGCTGCAGGAAGGACAGCAGGCCGCGGTTGCGGTGCACCAGCAGCTGCCGCCACTGCCGCTGATGCGCCGCATCCTGTTCCCCTGCGGTGCCGCCGCCTCTGCCCGCCAGCAGCAGCTGCTCTGCATGCTTGAGCGTGTGTTGGGCTGTGCTCAAGTCGCCCAGCATCGCCTGCACTGTACCTGCCTCTGCCCACGCCTCTGCATCGCTGACATCTGCCCGCAGCAGCTGGTTGAGCAGGGACAGCGCCGGGACATACTGCCGCAGCTGGCAGTGCTTGTTCACCAGGGCGAGGAGAGTGTCCCGGTGCCTCCGCTGCCACAGCTGGTGCAGGTGGTTGCTGCTGGCGGGAAGCGCCGTTGCATCCCCTGCTGCGCCTCCTTTGCTCACCGCCTCTGCCTGCCGCGCGGCACACCAATCCAGCAGCGCATACAGCCGGTCCACAGCCTGCTGCTGCCTGCCCAGCCGCCATGGCACCTCTGCCGCCATGATCCGCAGGGCAAAGGGCACCAGCGACTGGCCTTTGCTCATGTATGCACCATCATTAAACCTGCCCAGCTTGCTCAGTTCCGCAGCTGCGTGATCAAGCATTTTCAGCTTTAGAAATGCCAGGGTGTGATAGGCGGCGACTGTGAGGGCGGCGGCCGTGTCGGTCGCTGTGGTGGAGGCACACCGCTTGGCCACCTCCCGCCAGCGACCCTGCGATGAGGTTTAGCAAGTATGGCGAGCGCTGGGGAGAATGAGCGGGCCGTGGCGTGCAGGCGGCCTGCTGCCGCCTTGTGGCCATCGCGCCTGTGCCCCACCTGCAGCGCCAGGGACTGTAGCCCTTCCACCCCATCAGGAACCGGCTCCTGGAGCGAGGGAACGGGAGCCGACCACACTGAGGACCCTGCAGCGCGGGAGCTCTCCTCTTCAAGGGGGTGCGCCATCCCTTGCCCTCCGTGATCAACAGATCATGGGAGGCACGATGGATGTGCCTTTTGGGGAAGGACCGGCACATGCTGAACGTGCTGCGTGCCCACCGTGCGCTGCATGGCGTACGGCGTTGCAGCATGCGCTTCTGTGGCTGGCCGACCCCAAGAATGCTATATGATCCTGTTGTGTGTTGCAGGAAGTAAAGGGAGCGTGAATGGCAGAAGAATCTGAAAGCAGGTCAATGCCCGGTTGAAATCCAGCAGAAGGCGAGCGGGCAACCGTCACTCATCGGGCGGCGGCGCCCGCAGCAACCTGCATGCCGCCCGGTGCTGTGGCCACTCCATCCGGCTGCAGGCTTCGCTGCAGTAGCGCACCGTCCGGCAGCCGGTGCACAGACGGCCCCTGGGGGCCGCAGCCTCGCTTGCACCCGCCAGCCTGCTACACCGCGGATTGCCGCACTTGAGCAGCGCCAGCGCGAGAGCCCGCCGCTCAGACAGCTGCTTTTCCTCTGGGCTGAGGGGCTGTCTGCGAGGCAGGGAGCTGCTGCTGGCTGCATCCACTTCCTGCCGCTGCTCAATCAACGATGTGCACAGCTGCAGGGCGCGCCTGTGACACTGCCCATCGTCTGAAGACAGGCCCTCCACACATTGCTGCACGTCCGCCTGCTGCGTCGGCTCGGCTTGCAGGTGGAGCACCAGCTTGCGCAGCAGGTCACAAAGCGCTTGGTACAACATCCCAGCCTGCACAGGCACAGACAACTCGCTGCTGAATGCCTCGGCGGGACAGCCATGCCAGGCTAGCACAGACCAATGCCGACGTGCCATCTGCCTTCCAGCCCCACAGCCCACCTGCGGCACCTCGCCGGCCATTTGTGCCAGCGTTGCGCCAGCCGTGCACAGCGCGCGCACCAGTACCCCTTGGGCTGCCAACCGCGGCAGCACGGCCGGCTGCAGCTCGGCCACCCGCGCCAGCATGGTCACCGGGCCGTTCAAGGCAGATAAGGTGGTGCCGTGGCCGTCGGTGTGGCCGTGCTGAGGTATGCCGCCAGGCAATTGCAAGGCCTGCACCAACAATGGAGCGCCGCAGCGCAGCAAGCACTGCCGGCTCGAAAAAAGACGCCGCTGCAGCTGCTCAATAGCGTTTGAAGGAAGGAAACAGCCACCCACCTGCAAGCTGCGTGTGGCGACGTCTGCCAGTAGCCTGGCAATGTCAATGCCTGCGGCGATGCTGCTGGCGGTGAGCAGCAGGCGCCATAGCGGAGCCAGCTCTCGGTCGCTTAAGAGTACGATCAGCAGCAAGCAGTGCCGCTGATCGAGCACACTTGGAGGGCTGCCAAAGGACTCAGAGGATGCTGTCAGCACCATGGCAGTGCCAAGGAAGAGTAGCAGGCAACACTCCAGCTGCCTGCAAGGGCGCACAATGCGCAAACAGCCATGGATTGCGGGGTGCTATTGCCAATGCAAGCAGCAGGCTAGCACAGCATACAGTCTCCCTCCCCTGGCCTGTACCTGACAAAGGGGCGCCGGTGGCGGCCTGGCAACGCTCCCACCATGCTGCTGTTCATTTGATAAGCATGCAGCATAGCTCGCAATAGGCACTTGCCCAGGGACAGAGCTGTGGATTCCGACACAATTGCCTCCTGGCTGACTTTCAGTGATGCCGAACCCACAGTGAGCACAGTGCTGCCAGCTGATGCACTGCTGTCGCCGCCTCTGCTGCTGCCACGACTGCTGGTGTCAGCCCATGCCGTGCCGCAGGCAGGGAGGTGGGGCGCCAGCGCATGGGCCAGCTGGCAGGTGGTGACCAGGGCATGGAAGCTGGTGATGGCGGCTTCTGGCGAGGGCAGCGATCCTGACGCGAAAAACAGCATGGTTGTGGCTGCCATCGGGATGGCCAACGCAAGCTCCGCAGCAAGACTTTCCTGCACAAACGCCCAGCGCCGCCAGCAGCTGATGCCAGTGCCGCCAGGCTGCGCCAGGTGTCCTCACCGGCGGTTGGCTCATGCGTTGGCAAGCGTGGGAGCAGCGGTGCCAGGCGCAGCAGCGCCTCTGCTGCTTGGCAAGATGCTCGGCAAGAATCAGCGCTGCTTGGCAAGCTGGCGTGGTCGCCATCAAACAACTCCAGGCTGTCCAAGAAATTCGCCCAATAAGCTAGCAGCATCCCCCATTCACCGGCCCGGCTGCCCCAGCACTGCACACCCAAGCTGCTGCTGTCAAGTACCGCCGCTGCACGGGCTTGGGCTACAATTCCCTCTGCTTCCGCGACCTCTGATGCCAGCTGGAAAAGGAGTGGCAGGCCGCCAGGGCTGCCCACCTGCTGCACCAGCACTGCTATGTGCTGTGCCGACACGGGCTGCCCCTCCTCGGCTAGCGACACCGCATCGGAGCACAGGCTGCCCATCAGCGTCAAGAAGGCGAGCACGAATTTTGCCTGCTCAAAGCTGGCGCTGGCTGACCGCAGGTGCAGCCGCGCCGCAAGCGAGCCTGTCGCTTTCAGAAGGCTGTTGCCACTGCCGATGCTGGCTGTCTCGTATTGGATGCGCGCGTCGCGCAGGCAGACCGACGACAACACCTCGGCCACCTGTGCCAGTATCCGGCACCATTCGTCATCCTCCACAGATGCCGCCTGCTCAGCCTCAGGCAGAACAAGGCAGCGGGCGCCAAACTGCACCAGCTGCCGCTGCAAGTCGGGCCGCGACTCCACCTCAGCAGACAAGCCGAGGCAGGCGTTTGCGCAAAAAAGGTTGCGCAGCGCCTCAGCTGTCGGGCGTGGAGGCATGTGGCTCCCTGCAGTGCAAGCTGGCCCGGTCCCGGGCTGAGTGCAGACGGCTTGCAACAATTGCAGCAGGCAAAGCCTGCCTCCTCTGCATGGCGGCATGCCATTTGCTCACCCGCGGCATGCATGGAAGCCAGGGCGGCTTGGCACACAGCCGACACCCAGGCGACAAGCTTCGGAGGCTTGAGCGCCGTTGCCATCAGCAGTGCTGCGGCGCGCTCTGGCACCGCTGGCGGCGGCGTAACCGCTATTCTGGTCAGCAGCAGCGTAGCTACACTGCAGTTGTGCACACACGCGTCTACCAGCATGCTGGTGGGGCTGGTGGGGCTGGGAGCCAAAGAGACGTCTGCTGCGAAGCGTTGCAGCTGCGGCACCATCAGCTCTAGCGGCACCACTGCAGGAGGCCAGGACCAAAGCAAGGCAGGCAGGCTGCGCTAGCAGAAGGAGAGGCCAGAGCAGTAATTCTCAGGCAGCCAGAATGCCATGCTGGGTGCCCAACAGGCCACCACCCCGCCTGCAAGGCGTGCACACCAGCTTACGCCGCTGGGCGCTGGGCCACCCACCTGCCGCGGTCAGCAGGCGAACCCAGTCGCCTTCTGTCAGCCGCAGTGATCCCTTCCGCACCAGGTGGAGGCAGGTCAAGGCATCACAAACAAGCAGCCCCCGCTTGGTGTGGTGGGCAAACGCGTCACTCTGCATTGCGTGGACGCTTGCAGCTCTGTGCTCCTGCCTGAGGGACATGGCGACGTCTGCCAGGGTGGTGGCCAGCTGTGCAAACGCCCTTCACGGCATGGAGTGGAGGCGGCAGTGGTCGGGAGCGGTGATGGGAGCGGTGATGCGGCGGCGCCTCAAATGCTGCGCAGCAGCATGGCTGTCCGTCATCACAACAGCAGGCGCATTTTACCTCGTCACGGAGCTTGGCATAGGGCCAGCAGGCAATTCTCCGAAACACAGCAAGCGGAAGCGCTGCCCTGCCTCCATCCCAGAGCGTGTGGACTCTTCGCCGTCATCGGCCAGGAGATGTACACTCAGAGCCGAAATGAGGGCGCTGAAATGCTGCCACTCTGCAGGAGGGTTTTGCGCCATGTCGCGATAGTCCTGGACAATAGAACCGCGATGGGAGCAACGCGTAGGCCAAACAAAAGCAAGGCATTTGAGGGATTGCGCGCATGTGTGGACGATGGCGGCCAGGCTGGATCACGCCCATGCTGCGCGAGGCGGGGCGGCGCCGCATGCTGCTGGTTATGAACACTGAGAACTATCACGTTCATAATCCGTTTCCATCCGCCTGGTGCTGACTGCATTCATTTGAGCACACGGCGGCAGCGCACTCCAACTGCCCCCTGTTTGTGCTCCACCCTGCTGGTGAGTACGCATGCGTGCGTTGTTGCTACAGATCCAGCCATCAGGTGTTGCCATACAGCCCCGGATCGGTCAGCGGGCGCAGCAAACAGAAGAAGCCCAGCAGGCCGGCGGCGTAAGCGGCCGTGGTGGCTCGTCGGTGCTTGGAGCCTGGCAGCGGTAGCGCCGGCGGCCCCACAAAGTTGCAAAAGGCGTGGGGCAGCACGGCGGCAGCGAGGTGGCGGGTGCGCACAAAGTAGTAGGCCGCCAGCCAGCCAAAGGCGGTGGTGTAGGAGAGCTGGAAGGCGAGCGCTCGCAGCGCGCTGCCCAGCGGCAGGCCCTGGAAACGGGTCAGGTCGTGCAGGTGGTGGAGGTGGGAGGCGGCAAACAGCAGCGGGGACAGCCAGACGCAGGCGCCGGGGCCTGCCCGGGCAGCTAGCAGGTAGGAGATGAGGCAGCCCCGGTACAGGAACTCTTCCAGCAGCGGCGCCGCCAGCCAGTTGCGCAGGCGCACGAGGCCCGGCAGGGCCGCGCCCCGCTGCTGCCACACCCCGCCAGGGCTGCCCGCCAGGGCCACCAGCGGGCCTGCAAACAGCAGCGCGGTGAGCGCCAGCGGTAGGATGCAGGCCGCCGCCAGGCCCGGCGCCCGTAGGCCCAACGCCGCCCGCAGCGCCTGCAGCAAACATTAGGGACGTTTCAATGCAACGGCCCAGAATCCGCGGGCTGCTTTGAGCACGGGATAGGCTCAGTGATGAAAAAATCCACCAGGCGCGGTCGGGACCCCACCTGGTTGCCGCTGCCGCCTGCCACCAGGAGGCGCCGTTGGCACCCACCCCGCCATCCCGGCCGCCACGGCGGGAGCAGCGATGCGTTGGTACACGGTCTGTGAGCGCGGCTGGTTGTACCAAAGGTATAGCGGCGCGACCTGGAGAGCAGGGAAGTAGAGGGAGGCAAAAACCCAGGCTGACCACATGGCTGCTGCCGCAGGACTCCCACAATGTGAAGGGATGCAGCCGATCTTCAATCCTGCGCTCTTCTGCCTGCCTCGGAGGAAGCCCAGCAGGCATAGCAGCGACGCCAATTTCTTGCGCCTGGGGCATGCAATGCGCCATCCAGCTATACTGTGTCCGCTGGCGTGGGTGATAGAGCCTGTGGGCAATTAAGAGGCGCGCCTCAAGCCCTGCAGCCCGCGGTGCGACGCTGATCCTCTCCAGGCGGGACCCAGCGGGCGCCAGGCCGCTGCAGCACCCGACCCTGCCGGTGCAGAGAACATACAAATGGCGGACGAGTGAGTTTGGCCTCCTCTGCTCGCCCACGTGTGATCAGGCACCCCAAGGGACGCGCCAGGGGCTCGCCTGCGCCAGGGCGTGCATGGTCGAGGCTGCGGAGCACGACTGAGATGCTGCCAGCAGCCTGCTTGCACCTCGGAAGAGGTCCCCGCACGCCGCCTGCGCTGCCGCTTGCGAGGCCCAACCTTTGCGTCCTGCGGCCTGCAGGGACGACATTCTGCGCATCCTGGTCTCCACCGACAACCACTTGGTGCGCGGGGGGTGTCTGGATTGCTTGCGTCTGTGGCAGGCAGGCCAGCGCCCTTGCCCGCCCCACACGATGGCCGGCGCCCAGCCGTCCGCCGCCGCCCCCTCTGCTCCCCGTCCGCCCCGCAGGGCGTGTGGGAGAAGGACGAGGTTCGCAAGGACGACTCGTTCATTTCGTTTGAGGAGGTGTTCCAGATAGCGGCCGACAACAATGCGGACTTTGTGCTGCTGGGCGGGGACCTGTTCCACGACAACAAGCCCTCCCGCAAGACGATTGTGAGCGGAGCTGGCGCCCGAGGATTGGCACCCAGGGCCAT